GAAATAACATTTTCCCTTTGGAGAATATTATAATCCATCAGAACAAATCAGCTTGATTACTTCTAATTTTTATAATAATAGGGATGTCCTTAATTTACTTCACGCTAATATCAACAGTGGAGTACGTCTGTACGTTGGTAGAAGTATGATAAATTATTCAATAGAATCGTAAAAAACTGAAATTCTACACAACATTACAACAATAGCTAAAGGTTGGACACTTGAAGTCTTGAACCATATACCTTGTTTTTGTTAATAGAATTGTGATATGTGTTCTTGCATTTCAAACATGTTTAGATTTAAGTATGACTCATGCAACTTTAAGATAATGATTGAAATAATGTGACGATATTCATTCATCGTCCAAGAAGCTGCAATAAGGGTGATGTTATCGACCTAGCCCATACTAGGCCCATAGCAGTGCTAAGCCCATGTGTAGAACTCACTCCTAAAAGACCAGCCGATTAGGAGGAGGGAACACATTGCTTATAAGCCACCGGCCAAGCCCATACTTGACCGGTGTGGGATCGTAACAATACCCACGCTTCGAAGAGCCAACGTCCTCGTTGGTCACGGCTATATTGGTCACGGTTGGCACCCCCAGGGCCCAAACCACCACTCCATAGGCCACCACTCCGAGTGTCGGGACTAGGAAGATGGGGATGGCTCTGATACCAATTGTTATGGACCTAGATCATACTAGGCCCGTAGCAGTGCCATAAGTCCATGTGTAGAACTCACTCCTAAAAGACCAGCCGATTAGGAGGAGGGAACACATTGCTTATAAGCCACCGGTGTGGGGTCGTAACAGGTGACTTCAACAAAGATGGCTTCTACTTTTGAATATCAATACACAAACCAACTATTTGCATAAAAGAGGAATGGTTCGTTCACTGGAAATCACAATTCCCCAAAATAGAAATTACTTAGTAACAGTTATTTATTACGCCAGATTGTTGGTAGTACAACAAATTTGCTTTGCCGTCCTGGAATTGATGGTAAGCTTCAAGATCCTACTACAGATGATCCTTTTCTTCTACTAGCATTGAGTAAGGTTGCTAACTTTTATATTTCATGCTACAATTGCTGATCAGAAATCACTTTACAATGATCTTTTAGTTCCATCTCTTTGAGTTGGCCGCTTTGAAGGGGTCAGCTTCCTGAAGGAAGCGTGCAAAATCAAGACTGCAAGGTTCAAACAAAGAGGGTACAGAAAAAGAATGAATGGCTATAAGTAGCTGTCACAACCTTAATGGTTTGAAAATGAATAAATAAATATAGACAAAATAGTATCACCTGCATAACCAACACCAAGAGCACACAAGAGAGCAATTTGGACATTGGCGAACAGTAAAATAACCACACTTGCTGCAACAGCGTAACTCCATCAGTGTTGTGATTTGGGGTTGCTTTGATAAATACTACGTACATATATAGTACGTAGTACTCCCTCTGTCCCTAAAAGAAGTTTTATTTCGCTTATCGAGGGTCAACTTAAATCACTCTTAAACTCTTACTTTTTATATCAAAATTTTATAAAAGTTGAATTATTTTTTGGAGGCTTTGTAGCGGGTTTAATGTAGTTTCTGAATATGTAAATTTTATATACTAAAAATAATCCGAGTTTTCACAGGGATCATTTAACTTTATTGTCGGTCAACCTTCGTAATCCGCAATTGGAACTAAATTTAGGGACGGAGGGAGTAGTATTTTTCTTAGCATGACTAGTAAATGGCAATGCATAAATATATACATTCTCAAAGATGGAGAACATACTAGCTAAGTGAAAAAGGGAAGAGGAAAAATGGGGGGTATAGAAGAATTTTGGCAGGAGAGAAAACGTTGAGGGAAACAAAGCATTGCTTCTTACTCAGTATTTTTTCCCCATCATAAAAACACTGAGCAATGTAAACATATGTATAAAGCTAATAACAACATCAATCATACTTCATATTCCTTTGCATTGTCCGGGGTACATCCAAGCATAAGAAAATGGTTTTCCTTGCAGTTTTCTTTCATTTTCCTAACAATTTCCGGAATCCAAATCATAGCCTTATTGACAAAGATCTGGATTTTTGGGGCATTTTTTACAAAATAGCTGAGCTGAATATTAGCTACCATTCTCTTTACACACATAAAAAGGGGCAAAGAGTGATATTTCTTCTTGTAGTTCCTATACTGTTAGTATAGGGTTACATAAAATCTTCTATGTGAATATTCTGGCCTTCAAAAGATGAAAAAGAGGTAACCAATACCACACCATCCATTCTTTATACTACTGCTAAAAGAGATAAGAACCTTTAGGGTCCTAGCTGACTGAACCCACAGGCACATCCGAATTAACTTATGCCATGTGGTGATTTACATCAAGATATTTTCATTTTCATTGTTTCACTGGATTGATAGATAGCTCTAACCCAGGGATCCCTCGGCACCAGTGATAAATTCACATTCAAATGAAAAACTAAGGAATCCATTGGCACCCCAGTTGAGCCAGGCAAGAACTGTCTCTCTTGGCACAACACATTGGATTATCAAGCTCATTCAGTTATAATGCAAATAAGAATTTCTGTAGGATGAACTCACCACATTGGGCAATCCCAATCAAGATCGGCTTAATTATTGGGTGCTGTTCTAATCCATGCTTATCACCAAAGTACTTAAACAAATCCCAGAGGGCTATGCACGATAGCAAACCAACAAGGGCAAGCGGCATTTGGTACCTGACGAAAGAAAGAAGTCCAAAAACCCCAAAATGACGAAAATTAGAATACATAATGAGTTTGACCCACCAACGCTAGTACTTCAAATATGCAAGAAATATACTCCGTATAAGTTTTAGAGAAAAAATACGAATTCCATTTCCTCATCAAATTTGAACAGCACCTTATTCCTCAACTTTCTGATTAGCAGTTGTGAATTAAAACCCATGAGGATCCCATAAATAGTAGAATTAATAAGAAATGCAGATACGTTTTGCTAAGTAATTCGAGAGAGAGTAATAGTGCATACAAAGAGCAAGCGAAGAATACAACGAAGAGTGAAGCATAATTGCGGGAATAACGCTTGACATTCTCGTGGACCCTGAGGCGAGCCTGGGCCGGCGACGAGGGAAACGAATACGACTCACAAGACCCGAAGAAATTAAGCGTCCAGCAAGGGGTCTCGCCGGAAAAGTCGTCGGAGGTGAGCTTGGAGAAGGGATTGAGAGTGAGTAGAGAGAGCAGAGTTCTGACGAATGAAAAGAATGATAAGAAAATTCCGCTGCTGATTGGGCAAGGGGTAGTAGCCGAAGCGGTTTCAGACGAAGAGGGTGTCGTGGCGGTGGAAGCGGTGGAGGACAGGCGGTGGAGGTCGGAGGTGCGTTGGTCGAGAACTTCGAGATAGCCACTGTCTCGAAGCCAGTTCTCGAATTCGGGTTCGGGTACGCTAAGAGATAACGGGTTAGCCGGGAATACCATTTTCTTTCCTGCTTCCTGGAATCAAATGCTCCGTATTACATTACGAGTATTATTACTCAGATTTTGAGAGATATAAAAGACAATGAATGTGTTTTAATTTTTAAATGACGCGGAGTACAGTATACTTCATCCGTCCCGTTAAGATTGTCTGTGTTCTTATTCACTTAGTCAATACAAATCACTCTTAATTTAATACTTTATCAAATTTTATCAAATTTGATTCTGATTTTTACGAGTTTGTAAAGTTTTTAATGTATTTTCTGAATATATAATTCTTTTTCTAAAAATAATTTGAGTGATGACATGAATTTTTTGTTATATCATCGATCAAACATCGTAAACTCAATTGTCTCATTCTTAGTGGAACGGAGAGAGTACTTCTTAAGTTCGTATCTACGACTCATGAGGTCAAGAATATTATTCTCATAATCATTTTTTTAAGAGAGAATTCCCTAAATAGGAGTAAAAAAGTTTTGAAATTCCAAAATAAGAGTATCATGTTTTTATTCCCTAAATAGGAGTACATTTCTGCCAAGTTTGGAAATTACAAGGCTTTAAACATGGCATTTTTTCCCAAACTTGGCAGATTACTCCTATTCAGGGAATAAAAAACATGATACTCCTATTTTGGAATTTCAAAACGTTTTTACTCCTATTTAGGGTAATTTCTGTTTTTTTAATCCAGGTGTCGGGCTTACGCTCCTCCCACCACACGAATCCAAACTCACTGCCTTCATTATCATCTCCTCCCTTCTCAGCCGCTAAGCTACTCCGTAAAGGTAGAGAAAATCATGGGAGGTAGGACTTTCCTCATCTCCCCTAGGTGGGAATTGAACCCAAGAGACTTTGGGGTGGATGATCATCTATTGGACTACACCCACCTTCTCATAGTCATTCCCTCCCTTGTGTACTAATTAGAGAATAAATGTAAATTTTAAAATGTATGTTAAATAGCCCAATTTATTTAAGAGGTCAAGAATTTCATCTCAGAGTTTAATGCACCAAATGTTATTTTGATATATGTCAAACTGTATGTGTTATAATTGTTCATGCACAAAACCCCTATATGAACCTATCTAATTACTAAATAAATGAAAAAGATTCATATTTTTGACTTTGGATATTTACCTATTTAATAGTCTCCTTATGTTGCAAGATGTTGAACCCCCAATTCCAAGAGTCCCCCATGCCCCGACTCAACAAGGCATTTTTGGGGTTGTAAATCTTGATTACTCAATCAACTTAATAATGGTAGACTTTGTACTCATACGCACTACAGATCTCGATCAGCACACATGAATTGTAACTTTCACACGGTCACCGCAGGTTTCGATCCTTCAGAATGTTCTAACTTTTCCATTACTACGTATCAATACCACTTTCTATGCCAATACCACTTTCTATTCTACTACGTATCAATCAATGTGGGGAGGTAATACGGAGTAGTTTTTATTTTAAAGAAGCCAAATGAGACGCTGGGAAATTTGGATGTCAACCAAAACTTTTTGTTGTAGAGTGGGCATTTAAGCATTTGTATGTATTTTACCAAAATTGAAACATGTCTACCATTATGTACTCCTTTCGGAGTCATTTCTTCAAGCACCTTTCATCCACCACTACTCTTTGTGCCAGCTTCTTCTCCGGCCGCCGTATGTGCCGACCCCAAACACATTCCTGGTTTACATCTTTCACTTATACCCCAACCCCCCATATAACTAGAAAACACCAGGGCAGGTTCATTACAACTGGCGCAGAACTGTCAACGCCATCATCCTCTTCTGCACCACTGCTTCCTTCGAAAGCTTCGGGTGGAGACTCACTCACTTCATCTTACCTCTCTGTCAGCATTCGCTGCGTAAAGGATGTTTCTGTAAGCAAAGTGAACTTTATGTGTCCATACTCGAACGTCTGATATTGGAATAGATATATTGAAGGAAATGGAGGGTCTGTTTCAATGTTTAGGATTCGTGTTGAGGATAATAATTGTGTATATTCTTGATGCTAATGAGTTTTATTTGCTTGCCAGGATATGCTTTCAGAGGCTCTTCTGTGCTATGGAGCCAGTTCAACAACAGTGGATGAAAGTGAGGATGGAAATGAGGTAATAATTCTATCAATTACCCGATCTTATCTCACTACTTTGTGCTGAAGTGCAGCCTGTTTTTTAGTTTTTGGGGGTTTATCAGGTAATTATAATGTTTGCACACTATTTTTTACCATCAGTGTAGTGTTTCAACTGCAACATAATGTTGCAGGTTTGCGTGGAGTCTATATTTTCTGTTAGTCATGATGTGAAGCAGTGCATTTCTCTTGCTTCCAATTCCATTGGTTTGGAAAATATTCCCAGCTATCAAGTGGTGGTGCACAACCAATCTGATTGGATTAGAGCAGTTCAGGTAAAGTAGTTTTTAATTTCTTTTGTTTTGCATGTCAATTTCCATTTATCATGATTCATGTTTGGCACCTTTTTAAAATTTCATAACTCATACTGTGTACTTTGTCTACTCATCATGGTGGATGGTAACTTGTAATGGTTAATTAGTAATCAACCTCTTATTTGTGACCTGATTTTGCAAACAATCTCAAACACTGCAGGACTCTTTTCAACCAGTGAAAGTTATGGAGGGACTTTGGATTGTACCTGAGTGGGTATCTGTTCCGGTATGAATTTGTCTTTTCTGTTTAAGAGTCCCCATCTGCCTCATTCATAGGGATTCCTTTTGTGAACAATTTGATCTCATGCCTGATCTTTATATATTTATTTGGGTCAACCCCTAATCTTCTATTATGAAACCGTAATTTTTTCCATATTTATGCTACAATGAATCCAACTGTAATTGTTATTTTAAATCTTATAATTCTGTAGCATGTCATGTCTCATTCTCACATATGCAAATGTAGATGTACTGATATAGGTACATGCTGTGTTCTTGACCATGTAGGATCCTCGAGCAACGAATATTATTCTAAATCCTGGTTTGGCATTTGGGACTGGAGAACACAGTACTACTAAATTGTGTCTCTTCTTGCTGCATGATATAATAAAAGGAGGAGAGACCTTCTTGGATTTTGGAACAGGCTCAGGTATCCTTGCTATTGCTGCAATCAAGGTACAATGCTAAAAAAAAAATTATGTGAAAACTAAAAAACGGTTCAGTTTTCTGATGGAAAATTAGAAAGCTTTCAAAGTTAGCATGGGTAATTCAAGCATGAGTAGTTGTAGTCTATCACATAATGTAGATCATGTAACTTTTAAAATCATAAAACAAAAAACTGAAAACTGACAGCCGTCCCAAACAGGGCTTAAGCTGTACTGAACTAATGACTGAGAAGGTGATCTAGTTTTGAATTTTCATTATCTAGAACTCTTACCACTAATGCTATAAAGTACAGTTTGGCGCTGCACTTTCAGTGGGTTTTGACACAGATGCCGAAGCAATTACTGCAGCTCAACATAATGCTTCTCTGAACGGTATTAGACCTACGAAATTCCTGCTCAAACTTGTTCCTGAATCTAACAGCCTGCAAATTGGTACTAGATTGAGCGCAGAAATTAGCACGCGGGATAAGAAAAATATAGATGTGTTCTATGAGAAAGAGAAATATGATGTGGTTATTGCAAATATACTGTCAAATCCTCTTATCGAGTTAGCAAACCAAATTGTCTCCTATGCTAAGCGTGGAGCAGTTGTAGGATTATCTGGGATCCTTTCAGAGCAGGTATGATCACGTTGCCTTTAGAAGAGAGGATAAATATATACAGCAATTTGAATACCATTACACTGGGAATGGTTCAGCCTTTGTTGTTAGCCATGAGGGACCAAATAACAGGAACAAAAACATAAAGAAACAAAAAGAGAATGATTCTTGATCTGAGATCCTACATTGGGGAACCTTCTTAGAAGCCAACATTCTTTTGATTTGTATGCAGATCCCATGCATCCTGGAATGTTATTCAGAATTACTTGAAGACATGAAGGTCTCCAGTATGGATGACTGGGCATGCATACATGGATTCAAGAAATAAAACAGCTGAAGTCTTTGGTCTGCGACTAATTTATTAGGCACGATGTATTTGGAGTGAAAGACCCTTATAGTCTCACACGGACTAAGAAAATATGTTTGGTAGATAATACTTGCATGCTACCTTCAGCCCTAAATTTAGGTGAAACCGCTGAGTTGGTTAAATTTACTGAATTATGAGAAAAATATAATAGTATTTTATTAATAAAATAAAGCAAAAAAATTAGATGAAAAATAGCTGAAATGACTCTACAATAACTCTAATTTTACTTATTTTGATTATTACACAATTAAGCATTCAAAATCAAAGGTAAATGTGCTTGGTAAAAATCTGGCTAATAAGCTAAAAATATGTGTTATCAAACACGCAGCTAAGTAAATGTTTAATGTTACTACATTTCACACACATTCACTAAGATTGGGATACAACTCATACAAGAGAGCCACACTGATTTCATATGTGGGTGGTATAAGTTTGTATAGTACAAAACAAGAGTGATTACAATTACCAAATGGTATCAATATTAAATGGGACATATTTATTAGAAGTACTAGAGTATAATTTAATACTCCGTATATAATTAGAGGGCAGTTCATATACATAGCTCTTGAAGAGAAGCCCCGTGCGGGCAAGACCATCAGAGGGTCTTCCCGGTGGAATTTTTCGATGAAATTTTTTGAACATGTTCACCATCAACTCTAGTTTATCCATACCAAATTTCAGCTCAAAATTCGATCGGGAAGAAAGTTAAAAAAAACTGGAAACATACTGCGCATTCTCCTCACATATAATGTGCAATATGTTTACATAATTTATTTGATTGTCTTCCTGATTGAATTTTGAGCTGAAATTTGGTATGGATAAACTAGACTTGATGAGAAATATGCTAAAAAAATCATCAAAAAAATTCCACCAAAAAGACCCTTTGATGGGCTTGTCCGCACACGGGACTTCTCTTCAGGATCTCCTGATAGGATTATAGGAACGGGACTCATAAAATTATACTTATATTATACTTATATTATATTTATAAAAGAAGTAATCAACTCATATTTTTAAAATTATAATTTCATATTATTTTGAATGGATAACGATCAAGTAATTGAGTTGTACTAAAAAAAAAAGAAAAAGGAAATAATTGTAGCACGAAGCTGGTGTTTATTAGAGCTTTTAACAAACCAAACTATTTTTGAACCGTTCTAGCTCGGGCTTAATTTTGGACTTAACGACGTGAACTTAATGAGCTCCAAATTCGGACACGGGCT